CCCTTTGCTGCTTTTAAGGCAACATTTGACCTCAACAGCTTCCATCTTTTATTCCACCGTACCAACTACCTGGCCCATAATTGCATTCTACCCATACAGACACAAATGTCTGAGCATCCACGCGCAGGTTTCCATCTGACTCTATCCTTGTTCTGCACATCAATGATAATTGGTAAGTTAATTACTCATTTAATTTTCTAATTAATAAAAAATGGACAAACCAAATGTCCAAATTTCACCTGAAGGAAACGTTTGATCGCGCTCGAGCAGCTTACTATTTTATTTGCACACGGGACAATTTCGTAACATTGATTTTGGTTTAAAATGCATCATGGATAAGAATACTTGGAGTCGAAGGGTCACGAAACAACGTCATTACCTTTTCCACTATGGACTGCCGCTTATTTAAACCTGTCATCATGTTCATCTTTAAACCTAGCCATAACCACACTAAAGTGATGGATTTATGACCCGAAGGAAGTTTGACTCCTTCCAAAGCGTCACAAATGCCAACATGGCTTTTGGTCAAGTTCATAATTTTTAAATCAACCTGTCACTTTTAACGATTGCTGCCGAAGCGAATTGGTCAGGCTGTCTAAAGATTGAATTCAATCAATGGATTGGCACTATTAACATCAAATTAATGACACTGCATTTTTTCTTCTAAGGCGTGTCACTACATTTAGCAACGACATTTCTTTGCTCATTTATATCTAGTCGCAGCACAATTGTATTAAAATCAATGCAAGAGAAATGCAAACTTCTTAGCTTTTAGTACCTCCTCGTAGACAACTCACCCTTTGCTTAAGGAATCACGTGCATTTTTCTTACCCTCTGTCGTAAATGCTGCAAATTAAGCAAACGCATTTTCTCATCCTCATGTTTGCTTATGTTTCCTCAACCAAACTTCCTCATCATCTTCATGCCTGCAAACCGATGAAGCGGTTTTATGATGCGTACAACAGATCTTACTTACTATGGAATTTTTAATGAGCCTCGCTGATCCTGTTCATAGAACAAACTGCCTTCAAAAAGGCGTCAACAATATATTTAGCGAATAGAATATTAACATAATACTAATGTTATCAATTTGATGTACTGTGATGTAGGTGCTCAGTAGGCAGATCGGCAATCCTGCTTATGGTCGACTGTGTCGCTTAAATGGCAATTCTTGAATGTCGCCGTTGGATTCACTTTTCATTTGATGAAAGACTGACCGTTTAATGGGATCTCAGCAATTTATATGAAGAAACATAGATAGACAAAATAATTTTAACTAAAAGAGTTTGCAACGCGACCGTTTAAACTTTAAACTTGAGAGAACTTTAGAAGTCTGGAAAGGAGCTATGTTAAATCTACTCAACCGTGCCGATGGCCGTCGGAAATTATTCACTAGGGTAACTAAAGGTCGAGAGGCATTCGAAGAGAAGTCAATAAAATTTGCTTAGTCAAAGCAATACGGATGAAGAAAAGGCTAACATTTGATTAGTAAGCGAATGCAAAGGTGTTGCTATATCGGACAATTAGCTTTGCTTGAAATTTGAAGATTAATGTAGTGACTATTTGTACCGAAAGTGAGTGTAACTAAGTAATGTTACATCAGTCCTGTGAGGTGCTGAGTATAAAGGTGTGGTATTCTTCAAAGTGCTCCAATAATCAGGGTATTGGTTAGCATTTAGAACCAAACGTTTTGGAACATTTGGACATTTCCTGCCCGATTTGACCGCCAGGTGGCCTTGATTCACCAAAAGGAGGTCACCCATTAAGTAATTTGACGTCCAAATCGCCTTGAATTCCTATCAGGAGTCATTCTACAATTCTCTTGACTGAGGAAATCTCATTGACGTCCTTTTGCTTGACATCCTTTGATGGTTGTGATTTGAATGTTAAAATTATACCTTTCCTATATAAGTGCTACCGGTTGTGCTTCGGAACGTAGGCCTTTCATCCACCTAACACAAAATCGCTAACTTTGTGTATTTTTATAGACAAAATTGCAGACTCGTTTTTGCACCCTACCATAATTTCTACTTAACTTAATTAAAGCCTATAGTTCTGGTTAGAATCCCATTAAAATTCATGGTAGAGTCAGTGGCAGAGAAGCCCGAGCAAATACAAAATGATTTTCATCCAGTTTTTTTCCGCATTTTATGCTACCATTGACACATTCTGGGGCACTTCTTATCATACTTATCTGTCTACAGTCACAGTTCTTTCCGATGCCATTAGCTATAGCTTATATGTCAGGAAAATGGGTCACGCAGAAGGACAAAAAGGTATTAGGTCTCGACATCGTTGATGTATCTCGTAGACTTGCCCATCAAGTTCTCCATTTAAACAGGAGCTGTAGCGATTCACAACCAACGACTGGTTAAAATTACAGGACCATTTTAAGCTACAGCCAGTGATTCTCATAACATTATTGCTTTTACTACATATCCCCAAATTGTCTGCACTAGTCTGCTTTCAACCATTTATCGTCGAGTTGCCGAACGCATAATCGGCAGCTGATCTGAGGGTTCTTTTATTGTGAGTCTGCGCATTCAATCATTTACCATAGCTGCCTTCGTTTTGTGAAGTAAAATTACTGCGTTTAGCCAACGAAATTTGAACTGTTGCTCATTTAAATATGGTCTTTTGATTATTGTCATCATCGTAG